GGGTTTTTTTTTTTTTTTTTTTTTTTTATTAATCTCTGCTATTTTACTGCTACTTTCTGCATTGCCAGATCTGCCTGTTTCCAGCCCACCCTGTTCAATAAAATCAAAGCCAAATCTCAACCCCTCTTTAACCTTCTGTTATAACAGTGAACATTTTAAAACCAATTTTAAAGAACAAGCAACACCCTTGTTCTTTTAAAACATAAGGTTGCGCTTAGATTTCTGTTACAGTACTTTGCATAAGCTTTGGGTCATTTTCTGGGACAAGCTGATCAGCCTATTGCTTTCTGCATGTTTGGAACACACATGCCAGATGCTGAGCTTAGACATCAGGTCTAATAGAAAAGGCCTAAAGCCATCAAAGCCAAATGGAGAGACCAATTGCCCAACTTGTTCAAAAGAAGCCCACTTGGACCGAAACCAGTCCGATCTGACAACATTGCTTCCATTTAAGAAGAAACTATTTTAAATTGCCAAAAAAAAAAAAAAAACCCAGGAAAATTATACAATTAAAATCACAATCATCTACTGAATATGTTTAAAATAAGATGGAACTTCTTGGATAAACAGGGAAAAAAAATAATTGGCTTGGATTATATCCACAAGTTGGAGTGAAACTCATTGCTACTAATTTACACGTGGTAGCCATTAATAGCTCATTACAATCTACAGGTTTCCTTTCAGTTAAAACTTTTTAGTCCATACTTGGCCTTTAAAAAACAATGCTCGTTATCGTCTTAAAAAATAGGGGTATAACTTGGCAAGGAGATTTATCTTGATACATTAATAAAGACATATGTTGCATTGCTATGATAGGGCTCTGCTGGTGCAGAGCAGCTGAATAATCAATTCTTAAGGTACTACGCTGCTAACAAGCAGCCGGAAGTTTAAAGAGTCAATTTTGAATCAATACCAATATGAAATATTGCAATGATGGTGTTATGGATACAAAAATTGACTAATGAAATGCCTTGATATTTGACAGAACCAATTTTTTTTTTTTTTTTTTTTTTTTTATTAATCTCT